GGCTCCACCGGTCTCACCGTCGGCCATCACACATCGCCGCCGCAGCCACCGAGCCGTTCGTCGTTGTATGCCGATGCAGAGACCACGAACGCCGTCGCCGAAATTTCTTTACATCCGCCGGCGCCGCTGCTCAAAACCGACGTCGGCGATGCCCGAGAACGAGAACGCTGTTCCGCCGCCCAATTCAGACGTCGCCGATGCCCGAGAACACGAACGTTGCCGCCTCCGTTTCCTTTTCGTCTGCCGGAACTGGAGCTCGGTTTCCACGTCGAGAAGGTAGTCTTCTCCGGCAGCATCAACCAGAAAAGGTCATCTGCGTCGACACGTCCTGTCATCCCGGTTGTCCACGCGGCAAATACGGCGGCCGAAATGGCCGGGCAGGCTGTGAATGGTGTTTTTGGATCTATGGGATTGATGTTGAGAATTTGATAATTAAGAGGGACTCAAATGCAATTTTAAGATTTTTTTGTTATATTTTAATTTAATGCATGGGCTGTATTTATAATTTATAAAAAATATTATTTTTCATATACTTTTTAAACTCATTTATTTTAGTATTTTTTTACTATAATTTATAAAAAAAACATATAAAAAAGTATTTTTTTATATACTTTCTTATACTTATATAAATATATTATATTTTTATACCAACAAATAATATAAAAATATTAAAATATTCAGTATAACTTTATATTAATAAAGATAAAGTATTTTAATTAGTTAGGTTAATTAAATTAACATACCAATAATCCAATTATTTTTAGTTCAATTTTATTTTGAATTTGAACATTAAAATACCAATAATTATTTTTTGTTCAATTAATTAACAACTCAATAGTACAATTACTTTTAGTTCAATTAAAAAACCAATAAGCCAATTTGCAATATATTGTTAGAACAAGTGCAAATTAAAGAGATCAACAATGCCCATTAGTATAACAATGTATTCCACACAATTACAAACGTGTGGCAGAAAAAGAAAACGTATTATTTTTTTTCTCAATAAATAATAATGTATAACATTAAATAAAAATTACAAACAGTATGTTTATTATTTATTATATAAATAATTTTGTAAATGCATAGTGTTAATTAAAGTACATATCATTAGATTTTTCTCAAAATTGAAATGCACATTAAAAAAATAGACGCTGGATAGACTGCACAATAATGATACACTAGATGCACATTTATGTACGTGTGCTTGCACTTTATCGAGTTCAATTCTTGTACTTTAACAGTATTGGTATTTCGTATATTATATTAAATTCAGTCAAAAAATAATAAATAAAAATAGTAACATACTAAATATAGTTTTAATATAAATAATAATTATTTCAATTATTGATGACAATTTGTTTTATTTTTCGAATAAACCAAATAAGTCGGTTTGATTTCAATTTAATTTGGGACAAGATTCTGTTCAAATCAACATGCACAACACCGGTCGACACAGTGCACCGTTGTGTTAGAGGATCCGCACACTAATAACTGCTATATTGCACATTATATTTTGTTTATATAGAATATTACATTTCGTAATGCAAAAAAACATAATATAAATTTTAAATCAAAAAAATATTACAACACTAAATATTTTTTTTATATTACGAATAATATTTTGTCTATTATTCTGGTTTCGGCATTCTCTCGGTCGATTAAACCCAACCGACTAATGATCCGATCAATTAATAACTATTTAATTTAGTAAAAAAATGTAACATTTTTATAATGTGCTC